GTATCTCTTCTCTCCGTGTTAAAATTATTTCTTAAGTTCCCCACAAAGTCCAAACAACTCCACAAAACTCTCTTAACCTTCACTAGCCTATATCTCAATATAACTAAAAGGGACATAGGAGAACACAATATCCGCTAGCTTAGGAAACCAAGGACAACAGTGCTACTCAAAATGCAAAAAAAAATATTGTTTGCAGTATATCTGAATTGCCAACACTAATCAGTGAGTTGTGTGTTAAATAATGCTTTTTCTTCCCCTCTTTCTCTCATTAATGCTAGAAAACAAAGTTTTGAGATTATTTTTCTCAAACTTGAAAATGATCTTTGGAAAATAAGGATAGGAATGCTGCAGGGTGTATGCTTTTGAAAATTAATGAGTCTACAGAAATGCATCCATTTTACTGAATTGCCATGCTCTGTAGTTAATAAATCTATAGAGATAAAAGTGTATGTTGTCAAAACTAGAAACTAGGCAAAAAAATTGAATTAACTTTCTACCCATTTAAATAATGAGGCTTTAGACACTGTCTCCCATGACATCCTCATAGGCAAGCTCAGGAAGTGCAGGCTGGAAGAGTGGACAGTGAGGTGCATTGAGAACTAGCTGAATGGCAGGACTCAGATGGTTGTGATCAGTGGTGCAGAGTCTAGTTGGAGGTCTGTAGCTAGCGGTGTCCCCCGGGGGTCCATACTCGGTCCAGTATTGTTTAACTTATTCATCAGTGACCTGGATGAAGGCATAGAGTACGTCCTCAGCATGTTTCCTGACGATACAAAACTGGGAGGGAGTGGCTGACACACCAGAGGGCTGTGCTGCCGTTCAGAGGGACCTGGACAGGCTGGAGAGTTGGGCAGAGAGGAGCCTCCTAAAGTTCAACAAAGGCAAGTGCAGGGTCCTGCCCCCAGGGAGGAATAACCCCATGCACCCCCAATACTGGGGGTCAAGCTGCTGGGGAACAGCTCTGCAGAGAAGGCCCTGGGGGTCTTGGTGGACAAATTGACCATGAGCCAGCAGTATGGCCTTGTGGCCAAGACGGTCAATGGTGTCCTGGGTTGCATTAGGCAGAATGTTACCAGCAGGTTGAGGGAGGTGATCCTCCCCCTCTACCCAGCCCTAGTGAGGCTGCATCTGGAGTATTGTGTCCAGTTCTGGGCTCTCCAACATAAGAGAGATGTGGAGCTACAGGAGCGAGTGCAGCAAAGGGCTAGTAAGATAAGATGCTGAAGGGCCTGGAGCATCTCTCACATGAAGAAAGGCTGAGAGCTGGGCCTGTGTAGCCTGGAGAAGAGAAGACTGTGGGGGGGGGGGGGGGGGGTTGTGTATAAATACCTAAAGGGAGGATGTCAAGAGGATGGGGCTAGACTCCTCTCTGTGGTGCCCAGCGATAGGACAAGAGGCAACGGGCACAAACTGAACCACAGGCAGTTCCGCCTGAACATGAGGAAAATGTCCTCCTTCTTTCCTGTGAGGGTGACTGAGCGCTGCAACAGGTTGCCCAGAGAGGTGGTGGAGTCT